GCCACATGCGATTCGCCACATCTTGGCCTTCGTGATCGCGTCGTAGCACGATTCACACTTTAGCTGCGCTGCTGGAGCTGATTACGCGCTGAAGCTGGTTGTCGGCCAGGTTGAGCACAATTGCCGCATGCGCTTGCTGCTGCTTGGCGTCCCCAAAGTCCTCGTGACAAGAAGTCCATCTGCAACAGGCATGCCCATAGATGGTAGTTGGTCCCGTCAAAACGGGCAGGCTTAGCGAGGTTTTCACAGTTTGGGCCCATAATCTTAATGATATATGAAGGGCAGAGGTAGAAGCGATGTGCGCTTGTGTGTGCAAATGCAGAAATGAGTGTATTAATGTTGGACGCGCTAGCACGCAATTGTGCGGGCCCGCGCGCAACTTCCTTGTGGGCCACACAATATACTAAATTTAAGTTCAAAGCTAATAATCCATCTTAAGGTATGTGGAGCACTCTAAATCAGTCTTTGCGCGAACCTAAAATCAAGTACACACTTTAATACGAAGACATATGATGTCTATAGAGGTTGAGCACGCACTAACCATTCTTAGTGACAATTGAGCTCACAACTTTGCGTCTAGTATAATGATGCCAAACCTCTTGAGCCAGTTGCCATTACTTATGAGTTAGTGCAAGCATTGAAATTAGCAGCATTACTAACAGGGGCACAGTGGAAACACGCACTTAACGTCGTCCGTATGACGGGGGAGGAAGACGGCGACGTCACCCTTGAAGCTGTTTCTGAGGTAAATGCTCTTTTTGAGCTAGACGAGATATCCCTCAAAGAGTTTGGTGGCTCCTTGAAGGCGTCGCTTAGGATAACCGTCCTGGAAGAAACCAAGAGGGCTCTGAACTCACTAAGAGGATTTTTGACCCTGAAGAATTCCCCAAGTCCGTGGGTAAAGAAGTTTCGAGACGTCGTCTCTAAAGACCCGCCGCCGGTCCTACGTCCGGACCGAGGTGTGCGTCATGAGATTGACATGGTTCCGGGAACCAAATACTGCGTAACACGCCAATGGTCCCTGACCAATGAGCAGTGTGACGTCTTTGACGCCTTCTTTTGAGCAAAGCACGCCGCAGGAATGGTGCGTGTGAGCATACCTCCCCATTCGACACCCACGTTCTGTGTCCGGGAGTCGAACGACAAGTGGCGTATCTTTCACGCTTACATTAAGCTCAACGCTGCCACCATTCCGGCGCAGACACCAACTCCTAGGAGGGGGTATTCTCCAGAATAACATCCTTGGATGTTCAAAGTACAGTGCACTTTACTTGGTCGATGGTATTACCTATTGCTCATGAGAGCGAGTGATGTTCCGCTGTCAGCGATTAGTACTTCGAGTGGCATGCTGTGAGAGTGGCTCGCAAGGACAGTCAATGCACCAGCAATATTTAATCTTCTTGTGACGCAGTTGATTAGGCCCCACTGGGCGTATGCACATACACACTTCAACGACGTATCCGTCCATAGTCGTGCGGAAATGAGAGGTTGGATGAAGAGAACCACATCTTCCATATGAGAGCGATGCTCGAATGCATGGGCGCGAATAAGGTGTATGCTTATGCAGACAAGTGCATCTGCGGCGTCGGAAAAAGCCCCTTTTTAGGGTGGTTCATCGGAAAGCGTGGCCTTCGGGCAGATTTCGCTAAAGTCAAGGTCATTGTGGACTGTCCGGTTCCAAAGATTCAAAAGGATTGCGCAAGTGGTTTTGCCTCGCCAATTACTGACACCAGTACAGCGAGAACTATGCGGAAATGGCGCGGACATTGTCGAATCATCTTAAGAAGGATGCGGAATGGTGTTGGGACACCGAGCATCAGGAGGCTGTTGAGGGGGTCAAAAATAGCCTACTTCATGCACCAATATTGGCGTTGCCGGACCTCGATCGTTTTAGTGTCGTCTATGACGCTTCGGACTTTGCCATCGGCTGTGCACTGCTGCGAGCAGACGCCAAGGGGCGAGATCGGGTGATCGCATCCGGATGTCGCCATCTCGAGGCTGCGGAGAAGAAGTACCCAGTCTACGACAAGAAAATACTTGCGATGAAGTGTGCAATTGTCAGTTTAAGTGCACCTGCTCGGCTTCAAGCCGTTTGTAATCTACATAGATCTTGCGTCACAACGCACTACGACTCAGTCGCCTCATCTCTTGCAGAGGATGGCCAGGTGGCTCTTCTTTTTCGCCGAAAAATAACTACAAGGTAAAGTATAAGACAGGAAAGCAGAATGCTTTGGCTGATGCGTTGTCACGCAGACCAGATTATGATCTTGCTCATGTCACGACGGAGTGACGAATCCGATCCACGCCGCATATGCGGGGGATGGTATGTGTGTAGCGTTGCTATCGGCTCTCCGGAGCTGTTCGGCAACTCGGACAAGAAGTTGTCGTCGCGACTGCGCGCACGGTTGCACTGATATTCCTGAATCACGAATTGCTGTATTATAGCGCCGACTCGACGGTTACGCCACGAACTGTGGTTCCTCACGATGAGGATTATAGTATCATATTATTCAAGAGGCCCACGACACCCCACTCAGTGATCATCTCGGTCGTGAGAAGACCCACAGCTCTGTGGGTTGCCACTACTGGTGGCCTAAGCTGTACAATAGACGAGAACATATGTGCGCACGTGTGAGACGTGTCAAATGGTGACACCCTCAACGAACGCGGCGACGCTGCTAGCCAGTTTACCGGTACCCCCCGGGTGTTGGCAGTCCATGAGTATGGACTTTGTATTTGGCCTGCCGAAGGACTCGGCGGGCAATACAGGTGTCGTGGTCTGCGTCGACCGTTTGAGCAAGATGGCTCATCTTGCGGCAGTGCCGGACATCATCGACGGTGTGGGTACCGCGACGCTGTTTGTGGATCGCGTATTTCGACAACATGGCCTCTCACAGTCTATTGTCTCTGACAGAGACCCACACTTCACTGGGAAGTTTTGGTCGACGATCTTCAAGGTGCTGGGCACTAAGTTGGCTATATCAACAGCGGACCATCCACAGACCGATGGTCAAACTAAGCGCGTAAATTGCGTCGTTGAAGACGCCCTTCGCAGCGTCTGCGCTGGATACCCAGACTCCGAGAACTCATGGGAACTTGATGTGCCACTTCGGCAAGACTGCCCATACGTCGTGTACCATGACGTTCCCCGTCGTCGTACGCCCCGCGCTTCTCGGCAATAGCCAGGGAAGCCGAAGGGCCATAAGCTGAGCTCAAGGTATGACCGTGAGCCGCTATAGTCGCAGACTCACCCGTGTGGGAGACCACAGAGCTTGCGGGAGTGTGATGGATTAATCTATACGTCGCAGGGTTACAATACGAAAGAAGTCGGCGTTGCGCCTTGAGTTTGGCAAGCTTGAACCGAAAATGGCGCTCCAAGCGCACGTCCACCTTCTTGTGGCTCCGCTGTAAGTTGGACAGCGAGGAAAGGTTCTGGTGCCGTTGCACCCATCGCTCGAAGAGCTCTTACTTTCTGTAGTGGATTCGCCGGGGGCGAGCACCACAGGATTTGTCCGCATCGCGGATACAGGAACACCTCCTCTTTGAGCATAAAGTCGAGTGCGGTACGAATCCACCAGAATTTCTTAAGAAACCAAGAAGCGAGATCAGAGATTTTCGTTCGTCAAGCTCAGATTGTGTAGTGGCTGGGGGTCCGATCACGTTGACACCCAACGGTCGGTTGATCGCGTCTTTTGCTTCAGTAGCGGGATCCCGCCGAGCGGACGCCGTATTCCACACGAGGGTCTAGGACCGGCCGTGGAAGCGCACGCATAGTCGCCCTGTGGGCAGCCTACAGCTGCTGATCCTGTGCCTCGTCGAGGCGATTGGTAATGATACCATTTTCCCTTGAAGCCGAGAGGTCGGGAAATGAACACGGTGTCCGCAAGGTTCGTCCAGGGATCACAACGTGCCGCAGGCGCACCTCGCCCTCCTCTTCTCCCCTTCCGGGGAAAAGAGTATTCTCCTCGTTGTTGACTGTCACGTAGCGCAGGCGAGGAAACGTTGGCGGAGGAAGGCGAAGTCGTTGG